TACTATAGAAAAGTCAAATTTCAATTACTCGTATTTCATTTGTAGAGCATACATTTAGTTTCATTAACCAGTTATTTTATGTTAATCAGCTTTTCTGTCTTTCTTGTTTTCCGTTTTCCGTGTTCCAAAATTCACTGGCCTTGAGCAAAAGTCTTGGTCTAGAACGGAGAATGCAGTTAACCGTCATAAAAACACCTTGCAGTTAAATTCGAAAAACTTCTTTTACAGTCTTCCAGTTCAAGTAGTTCAAAAAATCTTCCCATTGTAAACATCAAGCCAATAGTTAATATTTCTAATGTTAGTCTTTCAGAAGAACAAGAGAGAATTCTAAAATATAATTTTAACTTCTCACAAACCTGTAAACCCTCGATTCCAAAGATTTTGGCTCCTATCGAAAAAGCTTTCAAGTTCAGTAAAGTTTCAGATTCACAGAAAGAAATGATTAGGCATCTTATCGCTCATAATGTGAAATTCAATAATAAACCTTTGAAACCAAATCTAACTGCGAGAGAAAGAGCTACAATGCGCGAAATTCATTCTAACCCGGATATTATCATTTCAAAGGCCGACAAAGGTGGCCAGATAGTCGTCATGGATAAGAACACTTACATCGATGGTGTCACTAAACTCTTAAACGAAGGACCATATAATCCGATCCCTAAAGATCCTTCACCTTCGGACTTATCCAAAATAAAAACTGCGATCAAATCTTCGCAAATCATTTCAAGCAACTTAAAACATTCGCTTATCCCATCTGTTGCGAATTGTGCCAGATTATATGCTCTTCCCAAAATTCATAAAAGTGGTATTCCTTTCCGCCCTATTGTATCAAATTTAGGTACTGCCTCGTATCCTTTAGCTAAATATTTAGTTTCTAGATTTTCCACTCTATTAGACAATAACATTTACACCATAAAAAAATTCAATAGAGTTTGTAAAAAAGGTTAAAAACATTTCTCCTAGTAATTTACTCATGGTTTCTTTTGATGTAAAATCATTATTCACCAATGTCCCAGTGGAGGGTGCATTAAGATGTCTAGAAACCAGACTTCGCGAATTTCATTTCTCTTGCATCGAAATTGATGAGCTAATTTCTCTCACTCAACTCTGTTTGAAACAAAACACATTTTGTTTTCCAAAATAAATATTACAAGCAAACTGAGGGATTAGCCATGGGAAGCCCCCTCAGTCCCATCCTGGCTGATATCTACATGCATTATTATGAATCAAAATTGTTTGAAACTTTAAACTTCCCGGCATGGTTCCGCTACGTAGACGATACTTTTACCCTGTTTGAAGGTAATAAAGATGATTTAAATAAAGTTCTTTCAACAATGAATTCTATTGATCCTGCTATTCAGTTCACTTTTGAACTTGAGACTTGCAATTCTCTTCCGTTTCTCGACATTCTGGTCACACGTAACACATCCAACTTCAGTACTACAGTTTACCGTAAACCTTCATCGGTTTGCCTTCCACCACACTTTAAATCATGTCATCCGACTAAACAAAAGTTAGCTTCATTTTATTCCTATGTTTTCCGTGCTCTTCAAGTTTGCTCCTCCAAACTAGCCCTTGATGAAGAACTAAATTATTTAAAAGCAATAGCTATTGACAGGGGCTTTTCACCCAACATTATTAATCAAGCAGTTAAAAAATTCTCTCATCTCAACACACTAAAAGCCACACTCTTATTTTAGGAGATTATAAAAATTCTGTTGTCATTCCCTTCTTTCCATCAATTAGCTATAAAGTTGCACATATTTTGCAGAAATTTAACTTTCGGGTTGTTTATTCTCCCATCAATAAAATTCCAACTTCTATACTCAAGGACCCCATTCCGGATATGAATTCCTGGGGTATTTATAGGATTCCTTGCCAGTGTGGTTTAATTTACATTGGCCAAACTAAGAGAGCCTTAAAATTTCGCGTCAAAGAACATGAGGCATATGTTAGAAAAAAGGAAAACACAGAAGTCTTCTGTTGCTCAACATTGTTGGTCCGAAAATCACACTTTCAATTTTTCTGCTGCCAAAATTATTCAAAAAAACATCTTCCATTGGAGAACTGGATTTTCTAGAGGCATTTCACATTCATAAAAATCCTTCTGTTCTAGTTAACGATCCTAATTCCAATCCAAATTTGCCTTCGGCTTTTAGAGAAATTATGTTTTAGTTCTGGTTTCGCCAACAGATGGTGTTAAGTCCCTCTGAAGCCAGATGGCGCTGCCATCATTACTGTTTACAAAAAGAATGTTATTGGGGTTTGGCTTCAATGGCGAAGCAGAGAGTGATGGTGGGAGCCTGAGCGTCTTCCAAAAATTAGTATAATAAAGATATGTTACAGAGTAGTTTGTTAATTAGTTTAATTGAGAGTTACAGTCCACTTAAAAATCGCCGGACCATTTGAGTGGTCCGTCGAGCCGGAGAGATATCAGCTAAATAAATAATCTAGTGTAAAACAAGTGAATTGCCATTTGTTTCTATGGAATTTGTGTTTGTGGATTATAGCCAGTTAATGAAAGAAAGGGGTAAGTAAAAAACCCTTGAAACTCTATTCATTATTAACTGTTGCATTTAGTAAATTCTGAATTAAGTTTGTGTGATAATTTGTTATTGATAAGTGTATCGAAAATGGCTACGAAACTGAAAGATGTTCTCACTAAAAAGAGAACTCAAAAAACTATCTTATCGAAGTTGCAAAAGAAACTTTGTGAGCCAGATTTAAGTGTTAGTTATTTAGAATTGTTAAAAACTAAATTTAACAATCTTCAAAATGAATTCGATAATATTTTTGATTCTATTATCAATTTAAGTAGTGAAGAAAATATCGAAAAAATCTTCAGTGAGCAAGATGAAATTAATAGTAGTATTATTGATATAGAGTTTGAAATAAATAATAGATTGTCGAACGTTGTTAAAGAAAATAAAGTAGAAAATGCAGTAATTTCTGAAAATACTGTTGTGCGTTTACCTAAGATTTCGTTACTGACATTTTCAGGAGAAATGCATTCTTGGCTTTCCTTTAAGGACATTTTTAAAGCGAGTATTGATCAAAACCCAAATTTATCAGATGCTGTAAAATTGCAATATTTGAAATCAGCACTGAAAGGATATGCTTTTAGAATTATCCAAACGATAGCTATAACGGATAATAATTATAAGTTAGCGTGGTCTCTTCTTTAAGAAAGATACTCGAATCCTAGAGAACAAGTGTATGCTCATCTTAAAAGATTTATGAGTATTCCCGTTATTCAAAACGAGTCAGCTTCTGCGATTCTAAATTTAATTGATGTTACAAGTGAAGTTGTAAGATCGTTAGAATGTTTAGAACAAAAGTTAGATGGGGTTTCATCCGCTATATTTGCCTTTATTCTTAGCCAGAAACTTAATCAGAATACTAAGTTATGGTGGGAAAGGAATTTAAAGAAGAAAAAATACCGAACATTACAGAGTTATTAGAATTTCTAAAGGATCACGCGAGGACATTAAACGCTTCTAGAATTCCAGTAATGTCTAAATCAAAAGCTTCAGTAAGTCAATCAAAGGTTTCTTCAATGGTTTCATGTGTGACTGAAAAACGTGCTTTAATTTGTAAACTGTGTAATGTGGAACATAAATTATTTAAATGCCCTAAATTTCAAAAATTCAGCTTAAAGGATAGAGTCGAGTATGTTAAAAAACACAACTTATGTTTCTGCTGTTTTGGAAATCATGGAGTGAGAAATTGCCCTTCAAATTACTCTTGTAGGGTATGCAGAAAAAAGCACAATTCGTTACTGTGTCATGAGCGAGAAAAAGTTTCGATTTCCCAAAATAGAGAGAGTTGCGATATCGCCTCTCTGTCGGATCAAAAGTCAGACGCCAGTTCGTCTACGGAAGTAGCGAAACTGAACGCTCACGCAAAGCCATTTATAAATAAGGATAGCGAGTGTTTTATGACAGCTAATGTAAATAAAAATTGTAATGCAGTTAATAGAGTCCTACTATCGACAGCGATTGTTTATATTAAGGGAAATGAAGGAGAAATATTTCCAGCCAGAACTTTGCTTGACAGTGGAAGTATGATTCATCTTTGTTCATCGGAATTAGCTGAGAAGCTTCATTTGCAAAGAGAAAATGTAAACCTATCAGTAGGATGTTTATCTGGGATTTCAACAACGGTGAAATCAAAAATAAGTTGCGGTTATTTTAAATAGAGGAAACACATACAGTCGTAAACTAGATTTTTTTCGTAATTCCGAAAATTACTCATTTGAATGCCTTCTAGACAAATTGATGTCTGTAATATTACGATTCCACAAGGTTTGTAATATTACGTTACACGTTAGCTGATCCAGACTTTCACCAAACCGAGGTAAAATTCAGTTACTTCTAGGATCTGAAATATTTTTCGATTTGATAAGATCCGGGCAAATTTATGTACCAAATACAAATTTAGTGTTACAAAATTCAGCATTTGGGTATTTGGTAAGCGGTAGCATTGAAGATTTACCACATGAGAAACAATTAATGCATTGTGGGTTAATTTATGACAATGTCGAAGCACAGTTGAAGAAGTTTTTTGATTTGGAATCAATTGGTATTAGAGATGATCCCAATTCTTACGATGAAGATAAAGCATTAGAGATATTCAACAAAACTGTTAGTTTCAAAGATGGTCGGTATATTGTTAACCTGCCTTGGAAGAAAAGTTGGGAACATCTAGGCGACAATTTTGGTGTCGCAGAAAAAAGAATAAAAATCCTGATGAGAAAAATGCAGCATGATAATACATTATACCTGAAATATAGAAAAACTTTAGAAGAGTACCTAAATCAAGGGATAATAGAAAGAGTATTAGATTCTACGAAACCAGTAAAAACAGCCAGTTTTTATATGCCGCATCAGGCAGTTTATAGAGAAGAAAGCATTACAACAAAAATGCGTATTGTATTTGATGCGAGCTCACATGAAAATAGGTAGTCTGTCCTGAATGATTGTTTGTGGCCAGGTATTAATATGAATCAAAATATATTTCACTTGCTGATGTATTTTAGACTTAATAGAGTTGCAATCTTAGGAGATATCGAAAAGACATTTTTACAGATCGTGTTAGTTGAGAAAGATCGAGATGCAGTTAGATTTTTATTTGTTAAGAATATTGATACACCTTTGCAGAATACCGACGATCAGCTAGAAGTGTATAGATTTAAGCGTGTGCTCTTTGGTGTTAATTCCAGTCCTTTTTTGTTAGCGGCAACTATAAAGCTGCATATCCAAAAGTACAGAAATGTGTATCTCGATACCTTTCAAATTCTTGATACATGTATGTATGTTGATGATCTTGTTACAGGAGCAGATGATGTATCAGAAGCCTTAAAAACTTCAAGGGAAGCAAAGGAAATTATGCATGGAGCTGGGATGAATCTACGCAAATGGGTGACGAATGATTATCATTTAGCTAAAAAATGGGAAGAAGAAAATTTTGATATTCATCCCATAAGCTCAAATGAAAAGATACTGAAGGTATTAGGAATTCAATGGAACATTCAGGAAGACAGTTTGAGTATAGAGACTTCTTGTTTGATGAAAATTTCGAGGAGAAAGGAAAGTACGAAACGCTTCATCCTCCAAACAGCTGGAAAAATATATGATCCTCTTGGACTCATTACACCATTCACTGTTAGAATAAAACTTTTACTACAAAAGCTATGGTTACGTAAATTACCATGGGATGAAGAGCTTCCTTCTGATTTGAACGACGAGTGGTCTGAGTGGTGTAGCGAGCTTTCAGAACTTAGTAACATTAGTGTTCCAAGATTTGCTTTGGATTCATGTGATGAAAATATAGAGATACCATGTTTTTTCTGACGCAAGTCCAAAAGTCGTATGGTGCAGCCGTTTACGTAAAAGGTACAGAATCGAAGAAAAAATTTCTGTGAATTTGCTGGCTTCCAAGAGCAGAGTTTCACCTGTCAAAAAAGTTTCCTTGCCTCGACTTGAATTGCTGGGTGCACTGATTGCTGCAAGATTGGGAACGGAAGTTAAAAAAGTTCTAGATCGTAAAGGTTCATCTAATATTTTTTTTTTCATTTTGGAGTGATTCTAAAGTCACACTGTATTGGATCAAAGGATCAAGCAGGAAGATGGAAGTCTTTCGTTCAAAATCGCGTTGACGAGATTCAGAAGTTGACTAATCCAGATTCATGGGTTTTATTGTTCAACCAAAGGACAATCCAGCCGATCTTCTAACGCGTGGAGTTAGTGCCTCTTCTCTAGTGCACAATTCTAAGTGGTGGACTTGTGCAGAATTTTTTACAGAGCCGCATCTTCCCTACAAGTGCTTACAACCAATAGTTCCAGAGGTTGAGAAACCTAACACCAAAGTGAAAGGGAATCCTTTGTGCAAGAAAGCAAAAGTTCTAGTTGACATTAATGACATTTCTGAGAGAACTATGTTGATTGACATGAACTCTAACGTTTTAGACGAACTCTTGAATATATTAGTAACAATTATTATAGAATAATTAATGTTCTTTCTTATATTTTTAGGTTCATTTGTAATTGCAGGAAGGTTGAATCAAGAAAGGTAGGCCTTCTTCAACTAGAGGAGGTAAGAATAGCTGAGGAAAAATGCTTATTAAGCATGAGCAGAAGGTTCTATTTTGTAAAAAGGACATAACAGGTAACTTAAAAAATTTACATCCCTTTGTTGATCGTAAAGGAATAATTCGCGTTTGGCGGCCGTCTTGAAAAAGCTTCTTTACCATTTTCTCAGAAATATCCTGCAATCCTACCAAAAATTCTAAGCTAAGTAAGATTTATTTTTCTAGTGTGCCAGAAGATTATTGCATGTTGGCCCCAAGGATTATTGAATGCAGTACGTTTAAAATTTTGGCCATTAGGTGGTAGAGATTTGGCGCGAAAAACAGTACATCATTGTGTGACGTGCTTTAAATGCAAACCGATTTTGTCTTCACAGATTATGGGCAATTTGCCATACGAGAGAGTTAATAGATTACCCCCATTTAGTGTTTCAGGTTTGGATCTATGCGGTCCCTTTTATGTGATTTACAAGCATCAGAGAAAGGGCGTGCTAAATAAAATTTATATTTGTGTATGTATATGTTTTGTGACACGAGCTATTCATCTTGAGCCTTTGTCAGATTTAACTTCTAGTGCTTTAATTGCCACTCTTAAGCGTTTCATGGCCAGACGTGGCAAATGTGCGAAAATATTCACTGATAATGCCCCTAATTTTGTAGGAGCAAATTCTCTGTTGAAGAAATTTTACAATGTAATTAATTTTCCTGATAAAACTTTGGCCTCATATTTCACGTCCGAAGAAATAGACTGGAACTTTATACCTCCCAAGTCCCCTCATTTCGGAGGGCTATGGGAAGCCGGTGTAAAGTCCGTAAAGTATCATTTTAAAGAGAAAACGATAGGAAATTTGCGTTTTACATATGAGGAGTTTGAAACCATAATTGTGCAGGTAGAAGGAATACTAAATTCGAGACCTCTTACAGCTATTTCCAATGATTTTGATTGTTATGACGTTTTGACCCCAGGTCATTTTTTAATAGGGAGATCAATACAGACGATTCCGGAGCCAATGATAATAGACGTAAATGAAAATCGGTTAAGCCGGTGGCAGAGAACAACGAAAGTAGTTCAAATTATTTGGAAGAAAATGGTCAAATGACTATTTAGGACTTTGCAGCAGAGAAACAGTGGATGATAGAGAAAGACAATATTTCTGTTGGTACTATGGTACTCGTCAAGGAGGATTATCTGCCAATTTGCAAATGGATATTAGGTCGGGTTATTAAAGTCTATCATGGATCTGACAATAAAGTAAGAACGGTTTAAAATCAAAACAAAATCAGGAGGAATTAAAAAGAGCGAATAACAAAGATCGCCGTTCTTCCGATAGAAAACTGAAATGATATTTTTGCATATGTATTGTATTTTGTCCTAGTATTGTAATAGTTGTAGTTATAGTAATAGTATATTATACTGTTTATAAGTATACTTAACTTTGTTTAAGTTACAATGTATGTATAATTTCTTGAAATTTTGTAATTTCAATCCGGGGGAGTGTTACGTCCCTCTGAAGCCAGATGGCGCAGCCATCGTTACTGTTTACAAAAAGAATGTTAATTACTTGGGAGTTGGCTTCAATGGCGAAGCAGAGAGTGATGGTGGGAGCCTGAGCGTCTTCCAAAAATTAGTATAATAAAGATATGTTACAGAGTAGTTTGTTAATTAGTTTAATTGAGAGTTACAGTCCACTTAAAAATCGCCGGACCAGATGGCGCCACTTGCTTATTCTTGTCCAGGCTTTCTTATCTTATCTAATCATTATTTCCTATCTTGTTCATTTGCGGTTTTGCAGCTGAAGATGATGGTTCGGTAAAACCATCGAAACTAGTCCTGTGAAAATTTTGTAGGTATAACGCTGATTTTTGTTGTTTGACTTCTGAATTAGTAAAATACAGTTGTCTAGTTGCAGTCACATTAGAATTGATGATTACTGGTAGTTTATCTGGAACAGCCGTTACGTAAAATTATACTAAATTTGGAAATACTGTAAACAAAAGATCTTTGTCATTTACGAGAAATTATCGTTTTCATGATTACTGCCAAATAAAACTTTATTGAAATTTTCAGCTAAATACTCCGACAAAAAGATCAACCTTAGAGGATTTTACTTTATTTTCTAATAGTTGTTTTTATTTTGGAATAAGCCTTTCCTTTACCATCTTACTTCCCAGCTTTTTCTTACTGCCAGAATGAGTTTTCAGTATTACACTTCATGCAAATATGGTAAAAATGAAACTTTAAGTTATTTCAGTAGGAGAGCGTGTTCTGCCTTTCGGCCATAATTGCTAATCTACGTCCGCACTTAATACGTGCCTGCTATTATACGCCGGTGATCCTTATATAATTGCCAGCTACGCGAGTTTGATTCTTTGCAGCTTTGACTGGCTAGTTTTAATTAACATTAGATAAGGTTACATTTTCTATTTTGAGTTAAAGCACAAGTGGAGGCTTGTTGTACGCCCAAGAGGAACCATCTATAAATATATTTTGAGTTGGAATTAAAGGGTATTTCGAGCCTTAACCGGAGATGTTACTTACATATAAGAGCTTAGCAAATATTCACTATTTAGTTCTTCAGTATTCTAGCTTTCAAGGAACTCTATTTTAGCTAGGCTATTACAACCTAATATATCATTTTCAAATTATGTGCATTGATTAAAATATTATTTACAAAGAGGTTATACATATATTTAAAAAAGAAATTTTCTTTCCACAAGTTGCATTAAGTGTATTCAACTTCTCTTGCTATTTAAAATTGGTTGAGGATTGGTAAAAATTGCAGAATTTTATAATACCGTTGTTTTTGCTATTTATCCTAAACTGGTTAGCCATGGGACTAGATCAAATCCATGAGTCCAAAGACCGTCAATGAATCTAAAATGAATGTAAGTCTTTTCAAGAGGTCTTCTTTTACAAGTCCCAAATAAGTAAGAAGATTAATTTAGAAGTCAAACAACAAAAATCAGCGTTATATTTTCAAATTTCCACAGGACTAGTTTCGATGATTTTACCGAACCATCATCCTCAGCTGCAAAAGCGCAAATGAACAAGATAAGATATAATGATAAGATAAGAAAGCCTGGACAGGAGATAAACTACTGGCGCCATCTGTTGATGACACCAGAACTAAAACTTAATTTCTTTAAAGGCGGATTGACAAGTACTGGCGCCATCTGTTGATGACACCAGAACTAAAACTTAATTTCTTTAAAGGCAAAGACGGTTTGGAATTAGGGTCGAGAGAAAAGAAAGATTTTTTTTAATGTGAAATGCCTCTAGAAAATCCAGTTCACCAATAGAAGATGCTTTTCGAATAATTTTGGCTGCAGGAAAATTGAAAGTGTGATTTTCGAATCAGCAATGTTGGGCAACAGAAGACTTCTGCGTTTCCTTTTTTCTAACATATGCCTCATGTTCCTTAACTCGAAATTTTAAGGGTCTGTTAGTTTGGCCAATGTAAATTAAGCCACACTGTCAAGGAAGCCTATAAATACCCCAGGAATTCCTATCCGGAATGGGGTCCTTGAGTATGGAACTCGGAATTTTATTGATGGGAGAATAAACAACCCGAAAGTTAAATTTCTGCAAAATATATGCAACTTTATAGCTAATTGATGGAAAGAAGGGAATGACAACAGAATTTTTATAATCTCCTAAAACAAGAGTGTACCTTTTAGTATGCTGAGATGAGAATTTTTTAACTGCTTGATTAATAATGTTGGGTGAAAAGCCCCTGTCAATAGCTATTGCTTTTAAATAATTTAGTTCATTAAGGGATGGTTTGGAGGAACGAACTTGAAGAGCACGGAAAACATAGGAATAAAATGAAGCTAATATTTGTTTAGTCGGATGACATGATTTAAAGTGTGGTGGAAGGTCAACCGGTGAAGGTTTACGGTAAACAGTAGTACTGAAGTTGGATGTGATACGGGTGACCAGAATGTCGAGAAACGGAAGACAATTACAAGTCTCAAGTTCAAAAGTGAACTGAATAGCAGGATCAATAGAATTCATTGTTGAAAGAACTTTATTTAAATAATCTTTATTCTCTTCAAACATGGAAAAGTATAGTCTACGTAGCGGAACCATACCGGGAAGTTTAAAGTTTCAAACAATTTTGATTCATAATAGTGCATGTAGATATCAGCCAAACAGCCATAAGCAGATATCAGATAAACAACCCGAAAAGTTAAATTTCTGCAAAATATTCTGCAATTTGATACAATAGGGCGTAAAGGAATACCACTTTTATGAATTTTGGGAAG